ATATTCCCTAACAGAGCCAGAGCGCGAGGCTTTGCAGGACTTCTTGCACAAGAACCTGGAGCGTGGGTTCATTAGGGCCTTCCACCTCGCCTACCGCGGCACCAGTGCTTTTCGTTAAGAAGAAATGTGGGAACTCCACCCTTGCCATGATTACCGAGCCCTGAACAAAATTACCGTCCCAGACCGGTACCCCTTGCCCCTTATCTCGGAACTGCTGGAGCGGGTGCAAGGGGCACAGGTGTTCACCAAGCTGGACCTCCGGGGGGCCTACAACTTGATTCGGATCCGAGCCGGGGATGAGTGGAAGACAGCGTTTGGGACCCGGTACGGGCAGTTCGAATATTTGGTTATGCCTTTCGGTTTGTGCAACGCGCCTGCTGTGTTTCAACGCTACATCAACCACGTGTTTCAGGACTTGTTAGACAAGTACGTGGTGGTGTATTTGGATGACATACTGATTTACTCCCGTGACCCGGCTTGCCATGAGGGACATGTCCGGACCGTGCTGCAGCGCTTGCGTGAGCACCGTTTGTACGCAAAGCTCAGCAAGTGCGAGTTCCATCAGCGGACTGTGGACTTCCTTGGTCACCGGCTCTCTCCAGATGGGGTGCAAATGGACCCGGGGAAGGTGACAGCGGTTCAAGAATGGGCGGCACCCCGGAACCGCAAGGACCTGCAGCGTTTCCTGGGGTTCGCCAATTACTACCGGACCTTCATCGCTGATTATGCTCATCGCACCACCCCGATGACCCGGCTACTGCGCCCAAAGACGCCGTTTTCCTGGGACAAGGAGGCAGAGGAGGCGTTTCAGGGGTTGAAGGCCTGTTTCCAGAGGGCACCAATCTTACAACATCCTGACCCCTCTCGACCCTTTGTGGTGGAGACCGACGCTTCCAGTACGGCTCTCGGTGCCGTCTTGTCTCAACAGATTGGTCCTGAAGCGCCACTCTTACCCTGTGCCTTCTATTCTCGCCAGCTCCTACCAGCGGAGCGTAACTATACTGTGTGGGAGCGGGAACTACTGGCCATCAAGGTAGCCTTTGAGGTCTGGCGCCACCATCTTGAGGGGCACGACATCCGGTGGAGGTGAGAACCGACCACCGGAACCTGGAGTACCTCCAGACCACCCGCAAGCTGAACCAAAGACAGATCCGGTGGGCGTTGTTCTTTTCCCGGTTCCAGTTCCGGATCCGCTACATCCCTAGCTCTCAGAATCAGAAGGCGGATGCCCTGTCCCGGAAACCCGAAGACAACGCAGACACGGTACAGCAAGCAGAACCCACCACGATCCTACCTCCGGCTGCATTCCTGGCCACCCAGGAGGCGCAGCCACTGCAGGTTCGGGTGCGGGAACAGCAGCGGGTCGACGCTTGGGCCCAGGAACGACTCCGGGAGCTGGCTGAAGGGTCCAGCCCACAGTATCCGGGGCTGGTCCTGCATCAGGGCCTTCTGCTGCACCACGGTCGTCTGTACATCCCGCCAGGGCCACTACGGCTGGAGGTTCTCCGGATGGCCCATGATGCCCCAGCAGCGGGGCACTTTGGACGGTATCGGACCACCCATCTGGTCAGTCGAGAGTTTTGGTGGCCCCGCCTGAAGGCTGACGTGGCTCGCTACGTTGCTGGTTGTGATGTCTGCCGGCGCGCCAAGGGACCTACCGGGCGACCCCCCGGCCTACTTCAGCCATTGCCAGTTCCACCGCGCCCCTGGCACACGGTTTCGTTGGACTTTGTAGTGGACTTACCCTCGTCTCGTGGCTGTACCTGCCTTCTGGTTTTCTCCGACCATTTCACCAAGATGGTGCACTGCGCTCCCTGTCCATCTGTACCCACAGCCAAGGAAACTGCTCAGCTGTACCTTCAGCATGTCTTCCGCCTGCATGGACTACCTGAGCGCGTGGTGTCCGACCGGGCGTTCAGTTCACATCCCGGTTCTGGCGAGCATTACACCAGACCCTCGGGACAGAGGTCTGCCTCTCGTCAGCCTACCACCCACAGACCGATGGCCAGACGGAGCGGGCGAACGCGGTGCTGGAGCAGTACCTCCGGTGTTACTGCAGCTACCAGCAGGATGACTGGGTCGACCACCTGGCATTGGCGGAGTTCGCCTATAACAACGCGGTGAATGCGTCCACCCAGCAGACCCCGTTCCAGGCCAGTTATGGTTATCATCCACGGCTGTTTCCAGAGGTGCTGCCGGCATCCGCGGTCCCGGCGGTGACGGAGTGGCTTCAAGAGCTCCAGTCCCAGCAACAGCTTTTGGTGGAGCAACTGCACCAGGCCAAGGAAGCGTACAAAGCCCAGGCCGACCGCCACCGCCAGGTGGGGCCGGAACTGCGCGTCGGTGACCTGGTTTGGCTCTCCACTCGCCACCTCCACCCCTCTCGACCTTCGCGGAAGTTGGACGCCCGCTTCACCGGCCCGTTCCCTATCGTAGACCAAATCTCTCCTGTGGCATTCCGTCTCCGGTTACCCGCAACCCTGAAGGTTCACCCGGTCTTCCACAGGTCCCTTTTGAGTCCGGTGGCCCCACCCGACGAGTTCCACCCGGACCGTCCCCGACCGCAGCCAGTGTTGGTTCGGGGAGAGCCTGAGTACGAGGTGGAACGCATCCTGGACTCCCGATACCGCAGGGGAAAGCTGCAGTATCTCATTGACTGGAAGGGGTACGGACCGGAGGACCGTTCCTGGGAACCAGCGGCCAATGTCCACGCACCTGCCTGCCTCCGAGAGTTCCATGCGACGTACCCCGGCAAGCCGGGTCCGGACCCTCGGTTGAGGGGGCCTGGGAGGGGGATGGTGTGATGGCCTGGGATTCCGATTCGGAGGATGAAACAGAGGAATCCCAGCCTGCACAGGAGTCCCCGCCTCCAGGGCCGGCTGAACTGGGGCAAGGCCTAGATGCTGAAGAGCCTGCACCTGTGGCAGTGCATCAGGAGCTGGCCCCAGGTGAAGCCCTTCTGGCCCCAGAGGGGCTTGATGACTCAGTGGCCACAGGTGAGCCTCCTCCAGGGCCCAGTAACCCTTCGGCCTCTCCTGATCTGCAGAGGCTTAGGGCAGAGAGGCGAAGGGAACTGGTTGCCCCCAGGAGGAGTGCTCGCCTTAAGGCCAGAGGAGGCGGGGCTCCTGGGGACCGGGACCGCCCCTGGCCTTAGAAGAGGATAAAAGCCCAGTCAGCCCGGCCCCAGGTTGCGGGAGCAACGTCGTTGTTGGCTCGGACCTTCCTGTGCTCCTGTTCCCTGCTCGGCTTCCTGTTCCTGACTATCCGGTACTCCTGTTCCCTGCTCGGCTTCCTGTTCCTGACTATCCGGTACTCCTGTTCCCTGCTCGGCCTCCTGTTCCCGACCATCCGGTGTTCCTGTTCCCTGCACAGCCTCCTGTTCCAGCATTCCTGTTCCCCGCCCGGCTCTCTGCCTCGGACCTTGCCCCTCTTCGTGTGGACTCTGCTACACCCAAGGTACCTTACCCCCGGGACCAGCACACTCCGGTTACCCAACCACATGAAACTGCACCCAGTATTTCACAGGTCGTTACTGTCACCGTACGAAGGGGGACGAGAAGGGCTGGCCACTCGGGGACCGGTCGTAGAAGAAAGAGAATGCAGCAGCCATGTGGCAGAAATCCTCGACGCCAGGTGGAAGGGGAATCAGGTGGAGTATTTGGTAGCGTGGGAAGGAGAACCGGAGTCAGAAAACACTTGGGTAATGGCTGAAGATATCAATGACGAGGTATTGATAGAAACGTTCCATCAAAGGTTCCCAAGGAAACCTCAGCCTGTGGAGAGGTTCCGGAGGGAATACTCTGGGACCACTGATGAAGGGGAGGAGTTGGAAGGATTCCCGGACTCGGAAGGGGAAGGGAGATGGACTCTGAGGAGGAGGTGTACTTCGAGACCAGGAACCGCAACAGGTTGAGAGAAGTGTTCGAGACATCGGAAGATGAAGGAAGTTCATTCCGGGTTTTGCCTCCTCACCGCCCGTAGAGGAGGGGGCGAGAGGGGGTGAAGGGGGCCCTGGAGGGGAGGTGGATGTCAGGGAACTGCCATCGGACGGAAGGGAGGTGAAAGGGCTCACACAGGTTGGGAGAGACGCAGCAGCTGAAGAGGGAACCAGCAGGGGAGGTGAAAGGGCTCACACAGGTTGGGAGAGACGCAGCAGCTGAAGAGGGAACCAGCAGGGAGGTGAAAGGGCTCACACAGGTTGGGAGAGACGCAGCAGCTGAAGAGGGAACCAGCAGGGGAGAGGAGCTGAGCTGGAGGGATGGCTCAGAGACACTTCCAGCGAAAACAGTGGGGAGGTTTCAGGACCTCCTGTAAGAACACCCACTCCTCGCCGGAAACTGTCACGCAGAGATTCCAGAAGACGTGTTTCCGTTAAGGAGCTTTTATGTTGGAAGCGATTACGAAAGCAACCACTGTCGGAATCTGCTAGTGACTAGAGGAGCCATGTCTGAGGGGCTCCGTCACAGACAGAGGTTTGTGGACTTGAACAAACTCTGAGGGGATACGATTTTACGCACAAGCAGCTCATCATCCCATCACATCACCCTTTTTATATATTGGACCAATTATACTCAGCTTCCACCCTTCCTGTATGCAGCCTGAGCTGTTTATGTATGTGAACAGTTTTGCGAGGATGGGTGACCAGAAATCTGGTCTTATCTTATCAATCTCCATTGGGATCATGTCTTCTCTTGGAGATTTATTGGCTAGTTGACTTGCGATTAGCCTCTTAATCTGATTGAGCATGACGTCTGGCCATTCTGGCAATTCTAATAACTGAGTATGGTAAACTTGTGAGGTTAAGTCAGAACGGGGACCATATATTCCTGTAAAATATGTCACCCAATCCTTCCCTTGAACAGATGCTTCTAACGAGTAGCCCAGCCCATTTGTACCTTGGGCAACCAGATGCCAAAATTTCCGTAAGTCCTTTTGAAGTTCCGCATCTCCCAATGCTTTCCACTGTTGCTCATAATATATTTGTTTCTTACTTTTCAGTAATCGCTTCTCGGCCTTTTGGCTAAGATCAAGTGTAGTATAGTAAAGCATCAAACATTAAAAACTAAATAAAATTAAAATATCAACAACCTCAGATATGCAGATGACACAACCTTGATGGTAGAAAGTGAGGAGGAATTAAAGAACCTTTTAATGAGGGTGAAAGAGGAGAGCAGAAAATATGGTCTGAAGCTCAACATCAAAAAAACTAAGATCATGGCCACTGGGCCCATCACCTCCTGGCAAATCAAAGGGGAAGAAGTGGAGGCAGTGAGAGATTTTACTTTCTTGGGCTCCGTGATCACTGCAGATGGTGACAGCAGTCACAAAATTAAAAGAGGCCTGCTCCTTGGGAGAAAGGTGATGGCAAACCTAGACAGCATATTAAAAAGCAGAGACATCACCTTACCAACAAAGGTCCATATAGTTAAAGCCATCGTTTTCCCAGTAGTGATGTATGGAAGTGAGAGCTGGTGAGGAGATTTCACCCCTCCCATATCCAAGAATCTCCTGAGGAGTCTGTTGATTCTCCAGAGAGGAGGAGGCGTGTTCTGCTCTCTACTTATTCTGCTCCAGCACCAAGTCAGTCAGTCAGTCAGTGTCGGAGAGAGAGAGAGACTGAGTGTTAGAGATTGTGTGTAGAGATAAGGTTGCTGCTAAGAGCAGCTGCAGACACTCAGTGCAGTGCAGCATTTATTTATGCTTAGACCTATTTAACTCTTTATATAGTTGTATTATAGTTGTAGTTATAGAATAAAGAAGATATTCTACAGAGCTGCTCTCCGAGTTGTTTATATACTCTGCTAGAGTCTGATGTACTCTGCTGTGCGACGACTGTCTTCTTGTTGGAGTGAATCCGGTGCTCACAACTCTAAGCTGTGAGTCCACAGCACTTTGACCTGTTCCTGTGCAGAAGGTGGTCTCTGGAAGTGCTACCCAGCTCGCCTAGCCCAGTCGGGGCTGAAGTGGATGAGTCCAGTTGGTGGCACTGGCTCAAGGGCGATGCTGACATCTGGACCATAAAGAAGGCTGATCGCCGAAGAATTGATGCTTTTGAATTATGGTGCTGGAGGAGACTCTTGGGAGTCCCATGGACTGCAAGAAGATCAAACCTATCCATTCTTAGGGAAATCAGCCCAGAGTGCTCACTGGAAGGACAGATCGTGAAGCTGAGGCTCCAATATTTTGGCCACCTCATGAGAAGAGAAGACTTCATGGAAAAGACCCTGATGCTGGGAAAGGTTGAGGGCACAAGAAGAAGGGGACGACAGAGAACGAGATGGTTGGACAGTATTCTCGAAGCTACAAACATGAGTCTGACCAAACTGCGGGAGGCAGTTGAAGACAGAAGTGCCTGGTGTGCTCTGGTCCATGGGATCACGAAGAGTCGGACACGACTAAACGACTAAACAACAAAAATTAAACTATTCACAATCTGCTATTTAAAGGCCACATCATAAGGGTTACTCTCCCACCACAATTGTTTCTAATTCAGAGTTAGAGAGGTTGATCACCTGTCTCTTGAACAGGCATGGCATGAACACAGGTATATCCCTCACTTTGTTGTTTGCCAGATCACATCCAAGAGGAACAACCTCTGAAATGGAAACTCTGGACTTCTAAGCCACAGAGTGCCTTGGTGTCAGGTAGGCTTAGTGGAAAAGGGACTGCATGCTGTGAAAATTTATCAGTTGATGGTCTCACTCAAGACAAGAGAGAAGAACCGCTTTGGGCACCAACAACCTAATGTAGAGCTATGCTGGCAGTGCAGAGTTTGACATTGTGCATGAGATCGTGCAAAGTTTTTATCATTGCAGCACCATTTCTGAGTGAGGTCTATCCCTAGGGTACATAAGAACTCTGGACAGGCTTCAATTGATAAGCTGTGCTTTTAGGATGGTCTCCCTGGCACATCCAACTCAACAGCGAGTCAGCCAACCAAGTTCAAAGAGATGCACCAAAATGGTTCACCAAAAACACATGATGTCACCATCTATCCTCCTGCTAATCTTGAGCACCTCATCTGGTAATTTAAGGTAATTTCTGAAAATGACGTTTGGGGTTTTAGACTGAAGTCATTGATAACCTACATGCCTTATTTAACATATCACTCTTGACTGCAGTCCTGCTGATGTCACACTTGTAGAAATCATGGGCACACTATTCATTGATGCTCTGGAACTTTAATAAGACCCCTAGCTTGTGCAGACCATGACCATTTAACAATTGCCCTTGATATAGCAGTATAAAAAGGAGAGAAAATCAGTTGCATAATGAAGGACTTAAAAAAAGAAAGGGATATATGTTCCCCTACAAATAGGTGTGTTACTTTATACTCAGCAGTGCAATAGTGCATCCTGGTGGACAAGCACCAGATTACTTCATTCAAATGAGCAGTTCATTATGATAGGTGTAGCAACTGAAATGGCAACTGCTGCCATTGAAAAGACAATAGAGAAGACCAGTAGGGTTTTCTCGTGTATAATTCTGCTCTGCTATTTCCATATGGGTTCTCTAGCGGAGAGTTGGGATATGTGATATTAAGGAGATGATCTGGTTCCTTTTGGCTCCTCATCTATCGCTTAAATATGGAAATTTTCCTGCAAAGTTGTAAAGTGGAGGTTAAGTTGTAAAGCTGGAGATTAAGCAAAATAAAAATTAAAAATAAATCAGTCCCATGCGCATATCAGCACTTTCAAGGTAGGGATGGGCAAAATCCTAAACCAACCAACCAACCACATCATGAGCTCAACCACAGGTCTGTTCCATTATATTTCTGCATTAATCTTCTATTTTCTTGTTTAAAATCTGCACAAACATTGGCATTTAAATATGTATGTTTTCTCTCAAACTATGGGTCATAATCTTTCTTTCTTTCTTTCTTTCTTTCTTTCTTTCTTTCTTTCTTTTTCTTTGCCAAGGACATTGAGGAGCTCAAAAGCCAGTGAATAACTAAGTTAATATGTGCACAGTAGCTCAAGATATCTGGATTAGGTTGGTTCAAACTCCAAGTCATAAACATCAAATTTCTCAAGCATTCTAATACATCCCCTTTCCATCCAAAGAAGAGAGCCTCTGCTATACATTCCAGTTCTGTCTCAGACATTCTTTACTTGATTAGGTGTGTCTTTACATAAACATATCACCAAGGACAGTTTCGACATTTGCACCGTGTATCTTGCTACTACACATTTCCCTCAGGGAATGTTTGCTGAGCAGTTGCTATCTCGAGATGTTTCAAGAGGCACTTATTTTAAATGGTGGTGATGAATTCAGTACAGTGGTACTTTGGTTTAATAACAGTTCAGTTTAAGAACAACTTGGATTAAGAACGCTGCAAACCCGGAAATAGGTGTTTTGGTTTGTGAACTTTGCCTTGGAATAAGAACATGTTTCACTTCCTGTTGAGTGTGTTCCATTTGTAAATTGAGTCCCCCGCTGCTATGGGAAAGCACACCTTGGTTTAAGAACATTTTGGTTTAAGAACAAACTTCCAAAATGGATTAAGTTCGTAAACCAAGGTACCACTATAGTAAGCAAAGCATCGTAATTGTCAAGTGCACTTTAAAACTATTCAAGAAGGGCCTTTTGGTGTTTGCAAAAAATCCCCACCAATGCACAGTGTGTTTGCCTGTTGATCATATTTCATAGTATCTCACCAATCAGATTTGTTCACCTGATGATGTCATTGAGGGTCAGTGAAATCAATAGAGAGTGAGAGCAAGATGGGGTGATGTGACTTTTTCTTCTTCTTCTTCATACCCCAACCATCGGGCTGGGTTCCCCCAGTCACTCTGGGCGGCTCCCAACAGAATATTAAAAACACGATAAAGCATCAAACATTAAAAACTTCCCTAAACATGGACATGTTGCAAGGAGTGCTATGCTGAACAGCCATAAAAGGAGGAGGATTTCTTTTTAATGCGCCGCTGAAAGTGTTTGCAAAAACAAAACAGCCATTTAATCTCTGGGCTAGATAACCTCCTCATAGATCCATTTGTTTTTAATGAGAACCCACTAATTTTACACTCTGCTAGCAATAACTCTTAACTCCATATGAAAAAACTTTTTCAGGGACAGAGGAACACCTATAATTGAATCTAAGATTACATTTGCTTCATATTAACCACAAACTCTTAAGCAATCAATGGCTACCCAATTTCAGTAGCAGTTCCTTAAAATGATTGAAAAACCTTATGAGTAGTGATGAAAAGTATAAAGCAGTATTGATCTCTTGCTCTGGGACATTGACTTACACTGTAAGCAAGTTTAATGCTGAAAGAAATGTACTCCTTTTCCTCCTTAGTTGCTTGTAAGCAAATACACAGATTTTTAAACTAATCACAACGTCTGTTTTATAAGTAAAGAAAACCCCAGAAACCAAAATGTGATCAGTTCAAACAGAGACAGGAGCAATACCGTTATTGTACAATGCATATTTTCCTCACTTAACTTTTACTGAGCAAATAGGCTTACACTGGAAGGAATAATCACTTTGTATGTAATAAAGTATATACTTGTAACTAACAAAAAAAAATCCATTTCAAATAAGCAAAAACAGATTACCATGTCATTTTGCATTTGAATCTCCCCCTGCCCCAGTAGAATGTATACCACAGTTGTATTGAATGTTTGAGCTTGATCTTTGGCACCACATGATAAAAGGTTTGTCTAAACAGAGATAAGATGAAGCGGGAAGGGATTATGTTCAGAAGCAGTGCTCGAGAGGATTTCGACGTGATTTACAAATCAAAACTTTCAGATTTCTTTCTGGGAAGCCTAACTGTAAACAAAGAATGACATAGTTTGGGGTTATGACCCAAATGATTTTGCTAATGACCCAAATGATTTTGCACAGAGACTGGTTTGTCAAGAATGGGGTGGTTAAGAGTCTTTCCATTTTCTTACCATCATATCAAAAGTTTTTTGTTCTGTAGACATGTCTTCCTCCATCCAGTTAAATACAGTAAACATTGATGGGAGTCTCAAAGTTACTCTCATCATTTTGTTTGGTTGTCGTTTAGTCGTTTAGTCGTGTCCAACTCTTCGTGACCCCCTGGACCAGAGCACACCAGGCACTTCTGTCTTCCACTG